GATTATGGATAACCCTTGTTTTATTGTTCAGGTGCTATGTCAAAAAGAAGTTTGACAATTATACTAGACATCCCATTTTGTTGAAATTTAATAGAGGGGATCTTAGGGGAATAGGCTCCACATGTGTATATGAATCATCAAATCATTTTATGATAATGTCCAAATCGTATTGGATATAGCACCCCAACAGTTTTGTGAACAATATTAATTAAGTACGCTTGTTAAACATACAACTACAATCCTCTTCGCTAGAGGAAATATTTTCAATTGGTCCTTGAATGGATGCTTATTTAGGAGATTGTTATGGTCTGGAATGATTTAGCAGTGGTCATTTCAATGTACACTGTTTCCTCTGTTGGCAGCTTTCTCTGAGTTTAATACAACAAGGTCAGTTCAGCAATGGATTTTGTTAAAGGCTTTATAAAAAAATATTAGAAATAAAATCACTTTTATTGTCATTTTCGGTGGATATCTGAGGTGCTTTCTGTTTAAGTATTTCTTAGACGTTAAAATTAGAATTCACAACTTGGCACTGTCAAATTTGTTCTCATTGTCACAAAACAAGTGAAGGACTCACGATTCTATGATCAAACAAATTCAATCCTGACATGTACACTTTGAAAGTAATTTCACGTGTCATTTTAAATAAAACAGATATGTACATGGAATCCCTGAGTTTAGCGCTAATTACACTTACATGCTTCTTGATTGATAAATTACACTCGTATCCCTTTTCATATTGACACCTTCTGCTTCTTAGAAAATTACATACTCCTGAGATTTTTTTTTTTAATGTTTTGGACCATGCGGATTTTACCTTGAAAATTAGAAGTAAGTGTGGTGCAGAGGAATTAGGTGTAATTTTGAAATCAAGGCTGGTTTAAATGAATGCTAACCTCAGACGAGGTTACTGTGAAAATCCCCTGAGAATGTTATTACTAGTTTTATTTATTTTGTTATTTTTTACTAGCTTTTAATATTTTTCATCTTTATTATTGACGCTTCCATATTGATTTATTTGATAATGTAAGCAAGTTAAAGTGTGGCCATTTGGTTTTAATTATAAAGCATCACATGTTAGGTCCATGAATATGTTTTATCTTCATCAACCCTAAGAAGAAAGCTTTTTGGTTTTGAAGGGTGGAGAAAGCACTAGCTGATTACTTAACCTTGTGCTGATGTCCACTCCCTATCTCGAAATGCTTCTTTTATGAGTGTCCTGCATTGAATACTTCTATAAAAGAATGAGTTGTGTGAAAAAAAATTCAACACTAGCTCATGGTTAAAGTGTTTAATGTTGTCGGTCATACTTTAACTTTGGATAATTATGGGGCTGATTAAGTTTGTACTAATATTTTCATTATGAGCTTAGTTTCCTGCATACAATTTGGGGTTCTATTCACACATTGTTTTTATGAATTGTGTCATCTTGAAAATAGTATATTGCATTATTCATTGTTTACTGTAGTTCTAAGAGCTTTTGTTGCTCTGTGTATAATGTTAGTATTGACTTTCAATAACTGGAAAATTGCAATTTGAAAAGAGAATAGAATGATGTCATTGATATTTCATAATAATATCACAGGTATTTCTAGCATAGTGCAAGGCTATATGTAAGGAAATAAATCACCCCAATAATCAGAAATTATATCCTAATAATCAGGTCTAGCTTCCTGGACAGACTCCTTTACAGATTCCTTTGATTCAAGGGATTTCAAACCTGATACACTGAAATGATTTACATCTAATTTACAATATCCATATTTTCAGCTTCTCCCCCTCTCCCCCAGTTTTATTAATAAAAGTCTTCCATTCTTAGCTTGGTAATTGGATCATTGAAACTGGAGCAACTGGAGCCTTTTAGCCCCTGTGCTGGACATGAGCTATTTGCTCTCTAGATGGAACAAACTAGGTTTTTTTATAGCTTTTCCATGATGACGTGTAAAATGATGATCTATTTCATCATGCTTTGTCCTATACTCCTATCATGCTTGTAGGACTGAGTTTTATTAATCGCTAACTTCTGGTTATAATGGAGCTTAATGAGAGATACTTGGCTTCCAAGTTCCAAGTCATCTAGGATAACTCTTATCCATAGATGAAAAAAACTCCTTGAATAATATATTTGAATTTTTATTCTGTAGATGATCTAGCTACTGTGTTGTGTTCTTACCATTTCATTTAACTAAATTTCCTTGTAGGAAAGTACAATATGTGAACATCAATCTTCTATCCACTAGTGAACCTGTATAGTCTGCATTGGTGTGATAATAACCTTGGGAGACCACACCATAAAAAGTTAGTTGTAGTTGGAAAGCTCAACAAGGTCTAGCTAACCTACATTAAAATCCTATTAATCAATTGTGGGACTCAAGTCCTATACCAACTGGGTTCTAACATCCCATCACACTCCATTATGATCATGTTGGTTTGTTATGCACTTTCCCTTTGACTACTTTGGTGAGTTGTGCAATACCTATTCAGCTTGTTTGATGTTGAAAAACATGTTCGAAGCTCTTGTACTAATTGATAAGAACCTTTGGTGAATCATACCACAAAATCTAGCTATTGTAGTTGAAGAGCCAATGAATCCGACAGTCCATACTAGAATCCTTACTTCACGGAACTCCCTTACTTTGCAATTGGATCCTAACATCACTTTTTCACTATTCTTGAATAAGACTATTTTTGGGGTTCCCTCGTGAAGTGCGTAAAACTCTGTATGCTGCAGATTGAAGGTGAGGTTCTCTTGCATTGAGCATGAATTGACTAATGAGACTAACTGAATATGCTATATGTCTGGGTCATGTTTAAACAAGATCAGTCTTCCAGCCATCTTTGGTTCATTCTTTTGTCAACTGCAGGTTTTACTTTAGCTTCCCATAGCTTATGCTTGAGATCAATGGAGTAGGGGCTTGCTTGCATCCAATTTATCTTGTTTCCATCTATAAATCCGTTTCATTTTGTAAAAATACGAAGATCTCTTTGCTGGAGCGTGCCACTTCAAATTTCTCATTTCTTTCATCTAGAAATCCTGGATCAGTCTCTGCATCAAATCTTTTTTTCTTTTCATCATTCCCAGCTGCTGTGATGTCATCATTATAAGGATGTTTGGCCCCCTTTCTCATTGATTCTTTGATAAAGGGATGTGATCTCCTAGGCTTTATTTGTACCAAACTCCTTTCATGAACTTTGCTAACCTTTCTAACCAATGTGTAGGATCTGTAATTTGTAAAGGGCATGCTGCAGGTTGTGCACCGTGTTATTTCTGTTCTTTTTTCATATCTTGGTGGATTATTCAGATTTCTTTATTAGGTCCTCATACAGAAATACGTTCTTGACACTGTACTGAATTTACCAACTAAAATGTGTGACAAGGGTAATATAGTTCGTATAGTCCCATAAGTTTCTGAGTAACCTTTGATGTCCAACCTTTGTATGTTTGCAGAGATCCATCTGCCTTGTACTTTAATGTGAAAATCCTTTTGCAGTCAACAATATTCTTCCATTTTGGTTTGTCAACAATATCCTGTATCAGTCTTTTCCAATTCTCATCCTTTTTTATAGCACAGTTAGATAGAGGGTAATGGGGTTCAGTTTCAAGGACCTTTTATAAACCAATGAGAAGATCTAGGTCATCTGTGGGACTTCATTTATTTGTACAGTTCCTTCAACTATCTCGATTTCAAGACTTGGTTGGATTCTTGAACATGTGTTATTTTAGGTTGACTCTTCTTTTCAGTCACTTCAGAGAATCTTGAGAAATTGTGAGTTACTTTGACATTCATATACAATGGCAGAGTTGAGTAACTCATTTTGTGGCTCACAGGCTGATTTAGGAGACTTTATGTTGGGTTCAATCTCTGAATTAGAAGCAAAGTTTACTGAAGCTGGGGGACCTTATGGCTTGCAGTACTTGCTGACCCTTTCAAGAAGCTCATGTTCATCATCTGTCATTGGAATCTTCTTTTTGACTGGCTGATTTAGGACACTTTATTTTGGGCTCAAGATCTGAAGTAGGAGCAGAGTTTATTGAAGCTGGGGGACCTTGCAGCTCGGCAGTATTTGCTGACCCTTTTGGTTGTTCAGGAAGCTCACATTATTCATCATCTATCATTGGAATCTTCTTTTGAAAAGAAATGTTGGAGAGAAAAACTTATTTTCATTTAAAGGGCATATCAGCAAATATGTACTATTTTTTTGGATTAGGGGTCTTAGACCATGTAACCTTTTTGAGTGAAAAATTAACTAAGGAAAAACACACATGATAGCCTGAGGATCAAGTTTGCCTCTATTGGCTGTGAATATGAGCAAAGGTTGTAGACCCAAAATACTGTAGGAATAACTATTTACGGTTTTGAAGTATTAAAGTTGTTTAAGAACTCTATGTGACTTATTGGAGAGGTTTATTTATCATGTATGAAACTGTGAAAATAGACTGTTCCTAACGGGATTAGAATCCTTTCTTTGACGGAGAAGGCTCAGTTTTTGGCTGAGAAATTGCTCATTTTCCTCTTGGCCTTCCCATTTTGCTTGTGGTTATGCATGAAGAATCGTGGATATTTCCTTATGATTAAGGAGACAGTTGATTGAAATAACAATTCATTCCATTGTCTGATCTGAGCCTTGTTCTTGTAATCCTTAATTTTTTTTAATCATTGAATGAAAAAGGGGTATAAAAGTAATCACATTAGTTTTTTCTTGAGAAGATAAAATCAATTGACCTCTGTGCAGTCATCACTATTCCCCCCTATCGTTGCTTTTTCCATGCAGTTTCCAACATTCTTTTTTTTAGTGCGTTGATCTTTTGCAATAAGTAAACTGCAAATTGTCAATGGTCTCCTTCCACTGGTTCTTTGCAAGATTGTGGAATCCTCATTTTCCCACACATTGTACTTTTGGTCTTTCTTATCTGGTCCCTGCTCAAGTAGATGACATGAATTCTGCATTCACTGATTTCTTATTGACAAAAATAAATGCTATAGTAATATTCTTATGCTTATTATTGATTTAAATTATTCAGATTGCATTGGTTCGGCATTCAACGTAAAAGGAGCAATGCAGTGCCCTAATTGTCGGAAGATTGAGAAAGGTCAATGGCTTTATGCTAATGGTAGCCGGTCATATCCAGAGTTTAGTATGGATGAGTGGACGCATGACGAGGACCTTTATGATCTTAGTTACTCTGAGATGGTAAGAGTGCTGTTAACTTTTTGTTTGTGTTTATATTTTATGCTTGCACCTGAGTATAGGCTTGCATAAATACTCCTCTATTGATTAGGCTTTTATGTGTGTGTGCGCGCGCAAGAGACAGAAATTTAAAAATTGTCCTTTACTTGGTTTTATCAAGAAGTTATTCTCTGAATGTCTTATTGGGATTTGGAGGGCGTTTAACTATATGCTATATCAAATTGTATGAAATTATAGACCAAAAGCAAAAGCGTAGCTGTCTGCATTTAAGTAAAAAGGGAAGCTAGTTAATATTATTTCACTATCTCCTTTGACCTTATATGAATGTGAGCTTCCTCTGCCTAATGCCTTTACTACTCCTCTACTTTCTTTCGATCTGCAACTCTTAATGGACTGCAAACATATGCTGTTATTGCTTCCCTCCATTGGCCATGTATGAGTTAATAATTCTAGATGAAATTCATTTTCCAATGTATTAGTGAGTAGTTGGACTTTGACTTTTAGTGGCTGGGATTAAATCTTTTTTAATGTAGTTGTATTTTTTATGTGGGTGGATAACATCTTGCTCATCATTTTGACTGCCTTTTTAACTGTATGGTGTTTGCAGTCTTTTGGAGTTCATTGGTGCCCTTTTGGCAACCTGGCACGACTTCCATCATCTTTCGAGTAAGCCTAATGCATAGAAGCTAATATCTAATTTGTTTCATGGGCTTGGACTAGACATTTTCTGTATTATTTTATTCTTTATATTGTTCTACCAGAAACCATGCACTATCACTCCTTTGTATCCACATTTTAATCACATTAAAATAATACAATTTTAAGAATATATTGTAAGAATGGTTTAGAAAAAACGTATGTGGTTGTTATTTTTAAGTGGAGAACTTATGTATTTACATTTGAATAGAGAGATTGTGAGGTTGTGCAGTTACATATTAAGTAAGAATTTTTTTTAGTTGTTAAAGGATAAAATTGTGACACCAAAAGTAGTTACAGAAAGGTGTATCCCCTTTATATAATGGTATACATAAACTGTGTTGTGTTTTGTGCATTTAAAAGAAACATGTATGGGATTCTTGTAAAGACTGGTTTCAAAACACTCTTTTGCGTTGTTACAGTGTGCAACAACCATATCTGACTTTTATTTATTATATTGGTGGTTTCACATATATCATCTTAACAATTATTATAAAGGTTTGCTGCAATGGGAAGCAATACACTGAAGTAAAATGCTTTTATTTTAATATGGAACGTAATTAGGTTCATTGAAGTCGAATGTGGTTAAAGCTACTGATTTTATTTATAAATCTGAACCCTGAAGTCCTTGTTATATTTAACCACTATTTTGGCAAAAAATAAAAGAAATGTTGCAAAGACTGGGGCAAAACTTGGTTAGCATCACAATTTTGAAGGTGATGGTGTCATTAAAAATTTAAAGATTGTTACTTAATGTGTTTGTTTGTGCATTGGGAGTTAAATTGAAGCGACAAATACTTGTTTGAGTTTTTTGGGAATTTGGCATGAAATGTGGATAATGGATGAAGACCCAATAAAAGTTATAGTTTAACGTATACCTCACTTTGTAGTCCAGTTCTTTCAGCTTGTTCCATGCCTTGGCAGCCTTGCTTCCACCCTAATAATATTTGGGAACGAGGAACTTTGAAGCAACCCCCTTCCTTTCATCCTTTATTCTTCTTTAGTAATGTCATTGGCTAATCAAGTGTGTTTGAGTACTCTTTTGAATTCCCAACAGAAGACTCAGTTGTTTTTTTTATGTTGGGCTTATATCTGGCAATATTTCAGTATGTTTCTTGAGATTGGAGTTGCAGCCAAAATGAAGGCCTGTTGCATACTTGTTAATGCATTTAATCTTTGTGTCTAGGTTGTTGTTTCATCATACACTTCTAACTTGTTGAATCTTGAAATAGTGTTCCTACCTTAATGAGTGTGCTTTAATTAGATCATTAAATGGATTCACCCGTGAGGTTTACTTTCCTTGCCATGTTAAAGGGAGAATAGAATAGTGCTATATGTTCTGTACAATATTGAATGCAACACAAGTTGAGTATTGTCTGATTGACATGCGGGTTGGGGATGGTGATGAGTTAACTGTGCATTTTAAAAAACATTTTTTTCTTTGTTGATGAATAATTGTTTTATCTTTCAATGACAAATTTTTGGACATTTTTTAAGAGACTATTCCCCCACACTCAAATGGAAAATAGTAGCATGCTTATCGGACTAATATTTATATTCCTTATTTTTCCAGGGAAGGGGAGTTTTCATCATCTGCATGTAAGATCCCTTTTGTAGCTCATCACCGTCTCCATTTTTTAAAATGATGTCTGCATGACACTGAATTCTTAATTTACTGGAATTATGAGATGCAGATCATGATGTAATTGGACAACATGCTATATTTGCTGAACATACAGCTGTGTCATCTGCCAGTCATCCTTGCCCGTATATTGCTTACTTTGGACCAATACATCCATCCTCCTCCAACTCAGGTGGAACTGTATCAGAGGCTTCAAACTTCAACCATTGGAATGGTTCATCTGTGCCCAGTGACATACCAACTTCATACTCATTTCCTGCCGTGGATCTTCACTATCACAGCTGGGAACACCACTCCCCTCCTTTTTCCACAGCAAGTACTCGTCTAGTTGCCGCTGATCAGCCATCAGGATCCCCTGGTAGTCAAAGGCCAGTCAGGGGTGGTTCGGATGTACCAAGATCAGGATCTTTCATGCATCCCTTCCTTGTCGGTCACAGGTGCCACTACACTTTAGAGTTGCCTCCCAATAGTAAATTACATTTATTTGCATGAATGTAATATTTGTTCAAATTTAATTTGATTTGTGAGCTAAACCATAATATATATTCTCCCCTTATAACATTAAATAAACAAATTGTTTTTGGTTATAGAAGATAAAAAATTATGGATATCAGAATCGTCACTGGCTAGTGAAAATTTGCACAGGTCATAAGTTTGATTTTCCATCACTTTCGGGTTAGAACTTCCAACGCATTAATTTCCGCAGTTGTATAACATTCAATGCACATTAATTTCTGCAGTTCTGCTGCCAGAGCGGGGAGCTCAGTTTCTTCCTCAATGATCCCTCCTTATCCTGGTAGCAATGCCCGGGCTCGGGATAGAGTTCAGGCTCTTCAGGCATACTACCAACCACAGCAACCTCCTAACTCAACCACAATGCGGACACCTATCACTACTGGCTCCCGACGATCCAGCAGTCACAGTGGATCAGCTCAATTAGCACCAATAGCCACATCGCCAGACCAAAGTGGTGGCTTTTTTCTTATCCCATCAAGTTCATCAGGGCGCAATTTTCAAGAAGAAAACCATCTACCAAATCACTTCCACGCTTGGGAAAGAGACCACTTGCCTTCATTGTCATTGAGCCATGTTGATAGAGATGCAGGTTGGAGAGCATACCACCAGTCCAGCAGCAGGTCAGACCCCGGTGCCAGGTCCAGTAGCTTCCGTTTAAGGCACGGATCAGATAGAATGCCTTCACAAAATCGGTAATACCCTTGTATCCTGCTCACTGTGCAGCAAACTACCAATTATTATGGAAAATTATGTATGCTTTGAGAAATGTTATATATTGCTTTGGCACTTCAGCCTTTGGGTCTGTCCTGTCATGACAGACTATATACTCTGGCTGGCCTTGGAATTGATTTTTCCAACAGCCACCGGTGTGATGGACATTTGCTTCCTCTTAGTTTATTTGCCTCCGTGGGCATACAATAAACGTTATATCTAGTTGGGGGAATCAGGATTTGGAAGAAAAACCGGGGCGTTGTTATTTCAGGTGATGAAACAAGTGGATGAAGGCAGCTGTGGTTGGATTTGTAGTGAGTCAACTATTTATGTTTCAGAACGATGCTCATGCAAATGCTGTGTATTGAGAATACAAGTAATTTTACTTCTACCCATTTGCAAGAGTGATTTGTAAACTGTTGTGCGAAAATTGAGCCAAAAGGTATGAAACTCATGAAAACTCCCATACCTAGGAATAATGGAAATTCGAAGGCTGGTTTTAAACAACAGTAAAACATTACAGTATCTCACAACCAACGTGAGATGGCGTCTATAATAAAAGATTATTTAGCTTCTGCAACATTTTTTATAACTCCTTTCAATCCCAAAATTTTCCAATTGCCTTCGAAAGATTTTTCTTTAAAAAAAAAAAAAATCAGTTGTCTTTACTGTGCACGTTTTGCTGATATGAAGATAAATTGTAAGCGAAGTATACATATTTGTCCAATTATATTATGTTTTCATCGTGTCCAATTATAACCAGCTAAACGTTTTATTTCAAGTACTATTATTTTACCAAGAGCCAGAAATTATATATATATATATATATATTATCATAACAGAGTATATACTGATGTTGAGAAATACAGTTTAATCCATTGATCTTCACATACACTTGGATTTTATCATGGTGTTAAGTTTTGGTATGAGTTGCATATAGTTCATGAAGTTATTTAAGTTTCTTTTGGTTCCACGAGAGTACACTTAAAAAGAAAAAAAAATGGAGATAATAGTAGTACTTTGACTAGTTCGTGTGTGACGAAAAGAGAACGGAAATAAGAAAAATGTCGCCTTATATATACATAAAATTTTACATAGAAACTATGCATTATGTAACATCTCAAAAAAATTTACACTTAATAAAAAATCTTTACATAAACTAGAGAAAACTGACACCAAACTTCCTATTATATGTTTTAGCTTTATCGTTTCTTAGTATTTGTTCACTCTTAACATTTTGCTTAAGTTTATACCATTAAAGTAATAATTACAAAAGAAAAAACAAACACATAAAATAGACAAAAATAGCAAGAGTAAACTTATATTGTAAAAGAATCAAATCAAGCAAATTATAATTCAGCATACAATACATTTCACTTTAAAATCAAACAAGAACATAAGCATATGTACATATACTAGACTTGACAAATCTGCATACAAGTATTGATGTCGAGCTATGGCGGGTCATGCACTTGTGGTGGCCTCTACTACTCTGTAGAGCCATTGTTAATGAGTTTTATCCTACCAAACACACAAGGTTAGTCTGTTACGCATTTTAGGTCAGGATGGAACACCTAGACTAAGACATCTTGCTACTCCTTAAAAGAAAATAATCCCCTGTCTTATTTCATTGGAATCATCAGTTTATATACAAATTATACATAGTATAATTAGGCTAGAATTAGGGAACTAATTAGCTATAAATAAGGAACTAAAATATATACTTGACAGATATTATATTATCATATATTCTAACACACCCCTACAGTCGAAGTGGGAGATCGTCGGACGCTAAGACTATCCCGAAAATCTTCAAATAGCACCAACGAAAGACCCTTGGTGAAAATATCAGCAATCTGATAACGCGATGGAAAATGTAACACTCGAACCTGGCCACGAGGGACATTTTCGCAAACAAAATGTATATCCATTTCAATATGCTTAGTGCGTTGATGCTGAACAGGATTTCCAGCAAGGTATATGGCATTGACATTATCACAATAAACCAATGTAGCCTTTTGAATAGGACACAAAAGCTCCAAAAGCAAGTTTTTCAACCAACATGACTCAAAAACCACATTGGCAACCCCTCGGTATTCCGCCTCTGCACTAGATCGTGATAAGGTAGCCTGTCGTTTGGCGGACCAAGAGATTAAGTTATCTCCCAAAAAAACAAAATAACCAGATGTAGAATGTCGTGTATCTGGGCACCCGCCCCAATCAGCATCAGTATAAGAAATAAGGGTGGATGTAGAAGATGGATATAGATGAAGACCAAGATTGATAGTACCCTGAATGTAACGCAAAATGCGTTTTAGAGCATGAATGTGCGCCTCCTTTGGGTCATGCATGAATAAGCATACTTGTTGCACGACATAAGTAATGTTGGGTCTGGTGAACGTAAGGTACTGAAGAGCCCCTGCAAGACTTCGATAAAAAGATGGATCCTCAAAAGGTGGGCTTGTAGCAACACTCATCTTTGGTTTGGTATCAACAGGAGTAGGAGATGGCCTACAAGATGACATGCCAGCTTGGTCAAGGATCTCTGCAGCATATTTTTTTTGAGATAAAAATAAACCACCTGCATGATGAGCCACAACAATACCCAGAAAATAGCTCAAATGTCCCAAGTCCTTCATAGCAAAATTTGAGCTAAGAAGAGTTATAATAGACTTACAAAGCTTATCAAAAGAAGCAGTCAAAATGATATCATCCACATATAACAATAAATAAGCCATAGAAGTACCACGACGATAAATGAACAAAGAATGATCCGAAGTACTGTGATAAAACCCAATAGTACGGACATAGGTACCAAATCTTGTATACTAAGCCCGTGGGGCCTGTTTAAGTCCATAAAGAAATTTCTTCAACAAACACACATGATTAGGATGAACAGATTCCCGAAACCCCAAAGTTTGATGCATGTAAACAGTTTCCTTGAGTTTTTCATGTAAAAAAGCATTTTTTTTACGTCAAGTTGATTAATAGACCAAGCTTTAGAAAGAGCCAAACTGAGAACTGTGCGAATAGTTGCTGGCTTGACCACCGGACTAAATGTGTCACCACAATCCACGCCAACTTGTTGCGTGTTACCACCACCTACAAGACGGGCTTTATGCCTCTCAAAAGAACCATCAGAGTTTTCTTTAGGAGAAAAAATCCACATAGACTGAATTACATTAACATTAGGTGGACAGGGCACCAATTGCCACGTCTTATTATTAATAATAGGTTTAATAGGTTCGGAAGTCCCTATATTTGCGGGTTAGTTTCAATTGGGTCCTCCAATTTTGGAAGTGATCAATTGAGTCCCTGTTTTGGTAAAATTGAATCAATAATGTCCTTGCCGTTAATCTTAGTAAACGGTGTTAACTTTCTAGCGAGGTGGCATGCTGAGGTGGCTTTTAATTAGCACGTGGCACGTTGTGTGGAAACCTTCTCCCCTTCCCCTTCCCCTTCCCCTTCCTCTCCAACTCCAACCTCACCTTCTCCCATCTTTGGGAAACTTTCTTCTCGCCCTCCCACACCCACCTCTTCAACATCTACATTCACGCCCATCCCCCAATCCAACCGTCAAGCGCACCTCCCTTGCCTCCACATCTCTCATCGTCGCTCGCCGTCTCATTACTGCCGCACTCCTCCACAACCCCCTCAACCTTTACTTCGCCCTCCGCCGTTGTTTCGGAGTTGCGGTGGCGCACCAATGTCTACGGTTCAGGTTCGTGACAGACATTTGCAGCAATATTCCTGACCAGTCCAAACATTTGCAGCAACTCCTTTCTTTTTTCAATTTCTTTTTATGTTGGAATCGCATATATGCAATGTTGGTGTTATTTGTTGTAATGTATGACAGTGATTTGAGAAAAATAAAAATAATATGGAGGTGCTGCCAAGTGCCATATTCAGGAGGAATCTGGCCAGAGAAAAAGTTGTCGCCAAGGTAGAGGTGGCGGAGGAGGGGCGCGGCGGCGACAGGGAGATGGCGTGGGTGTGGGAGGGCGAGAAGAAAGTTTCCCAAAGATGGGAGAAGGTGAAGTTGGAGGGGAAGGGGAAGGGGAGAAGGTTTCGGGAAGGGGAAGGGGAGAAGGTTTCGGGAAGGGGAAGGGGAAGGGGAGAAGGTTTCGGGAAAGGGGAAGAGGAAGGGGAGAAGGTTTCCACACAACATGCCACGTGCTAATTAAAAGCCACCTCAGCATGCCACCTCGCTAGAAATTTAACACCGTTTACTAAGATTAACGGCAAGGACATTATTGATTCAATTTTACAAAAACAGGGACTCAATTGATCACTTTCAAAATTGAAGGACCCAATTGAAACTAACTCGCAAATATAGGGACTTCCGAACCTATTAAACCTTAATAAGAGCATCATATTCATCAGTCATAGCCTTCTTCCAATTCGGGTCACAAAGAGCAGACACGGGGTTACGAGGCATTGGGGACTTAGACACAAATGTTAGAAGATTGAAGGACTTCTTAGGCTTAAAAATCCCATGCTGGCTTCTGGTAACAAGCCTTTTTGGTGGGCTAGGATGGGAGGGTGGAGTTGGGCAAGGAAGAGAGAGGGGTAGTAGAGGAGGTGGGGGTGGAAGGGCTAGGCTCACTAGGCTGGGGAAGGCTTTGTTGCTGGCTAGGCAAACTATTTGTTGGACTCGACAAAATGGGTTGTAGCGAGGTGGGTAAGGGAGCAGCTGGTGGGCTTGGGGTTTGTGGCGAGGCGGGTAAAGAAGTAGCTGGTGGGATTGGGAGAGTAGAGTAATGATAGACCATGTAGGGAGATCGCCCATTGTCTAAAAATTGATAAGTGTGAAGTTGAGGAGTATGTAACTTTGCAAAAGGGAATTACGTCTCATCAAAAATTACGTGACTACTAAAGATGATTTTTCTATATGATAAATCAAAGCATTTATACCCACGATGATTCAGAGGATACCCCAAAAAAACACAAGAAGTAGACCTAGATTGAAGTTTGTTGATGGCTGTAGAAGGAAAGAGAGGATAACATAAACACCCAAACACCTGAAGATGAGAATAAGATGGAGCCTTTTGATAAAGGATTTGGAGAGGAGATTGAAAGTTTAATAACTTGTCATTTGCAAAGCGTGATGCCAAAAAGAATGAGGAAGAGAAGCATGGGCCATTAAGGTACGTATAATGTTATTGAGCGTACGAATTTGTCTTTCAGCTTTCCCATTTTGAGGGGATGTATGAGGACAAGAAAAACAAAAAGAAAGACCATTAAGTTTACAAAATTCCCAAAAAGGCCCATTATTAAATTTTGTGCCCATTATCACATTATATATTCTTTATGTTTCGTTCAAATTGAGTTCGAATGAAGGACTGGAAATTAAAAAACGTGGAATAAGTTTGTGATTTTTTGGATAAAGGAAATGCCCACGAAAATTTAGAATAATCATCCACAAACAAGACATAATATCGATGACCCGAGGAACTCAAAACATGTGACGTCCAAAGATTACTATGGATAATATCAAAGGGCATAACAGTACAAGAATTTGAAGCATAAAATGGCAACTTAACATGCTTTCCAAGAGGACATGAATGGCAAATACGAAAATCCTTAATGGAAGTACAATCAATCAATTTACTCTTCCTAAGAGAGTTCAAAACAGGTGTTCCCAGGTGACCCAAACGATCATGCTAAAGAGATGGTGCTACATCAGTAAATGTAGATGGAAGTGTAGGGTTGGTGATGGGATAAAGCTCGCCCCGACTTTCACACCTCATTATCTGCCTCCCCGTCAGAAAATCCTTCACAAAAAATCCAAAGGGATCAAATTCAACAGAAATAGAGTTATCAGTGGTAAACTTTCTAATTGACACCAAGTTTTTAACAAGTTGAGGAGCATGAAGGACATTGTTTAAGGATAAGGGAGGATACGGGGAAGATAACTTGGTGTGACCATTACCAACAATTATACCATGTGTGTTGCTCATATTAAAATAAGACGAGAGGTTACCTTGTGCGGATGTCATGTGAGAAGTGGCACCAGTGTCCATGTACCAATTTGCATCTGGAGGATGGATGCTGAGAGTATGCATTGGAGGTGGTGCTACGGTGTAGGCTTGCGACGGTATGGGCCCAAGTACACCAGGCTGCTGACGAGGCTGTTGAAGCTGCTGTTGTCCCAAGTTAGGCATGACCCATGAATTAGAAAGGTACGGATAAGGAGGTATAGCCCACGAAGCCATCCATTGGCAAGGGTACGACTGTCCGCCAAACCATGGGACATTGGTCGAAGCTTGCGGACTGGAATGTTGTTGTCCACCACTGCGGCTATTGCGGTCGCCTGTATTACCCGCACCGCTGGTGCGACCCTTTCCACCACTACGACCACCATTGTTGCTGCGATATTGACCGCCAGTATTGTTGCTGCGATATTGACCTTCGGTATTGTTGCGAAAGTGACTCCTCTTTCCATCATTATTGTGGTTCAAAGGGGAATAATCAAAAACATCATGAGGGGCAACCGAGTCATGAGCAAGCATGGCGAATGATGAGGACTATGCCGCTTTTTTGGCAAGGCCGACCTCTTCAAGAGTGAGCATCGAACGAGCTTGATAAAAGTGGGGCAAGGGATCACTTTGGCGAATAAGGGTGGTCGCACCGTTGTAGGGTTCAGTGAGACCAGAGACCATTTGAAGAACTAGTCGATTGTTGTCAACGGGAGAACCGACATTCTTGAGTTGATTTGACAAAGATTTGAGATGTTGACAATAGGCAAAGACATTTGGGAAATTTGCCATGTCTGTGTGAGTGAAGTCATGCTCAAGGGTGACGACACGAGAGTATTTGTTATCCTGGAATTTGTCACGCAATCTATTCCAAGCCTCCATGACTGTGGTGTCAGTTTCAAGAATGGTATGAAGATCATGAGAAATAGTAACGTAAATCCACTGAAGAATAGTAGCGTCAAGAGTTGACCATAGTTCTTGTGCCTCCTCTATCTGAGGCATTTTCTCCTTACCTATCGCTGGAGGTATAATATGATCAATTACTCTATGGGAACGTGCATGAATTTTGAAGAGTTCCGCCAAAGTCGTGTATTGGACATTTTCCATCTCAAGAATGATGGGAATGTGGTTCCGGATGTTGGAAACAACAAGAGCAGGGTGAAAAAAGACTTTGAGTTAGACATGGAGATGGAGACAAAGATGAAGAAGACAAGGAAGCAAGGGCAGAACGATGCTAGGGCTGTGAGCGGAAGAGAAAAGTGGAAGGATCGAATCCTAGGAAATCTGATACCATAAAAGAGAATAATCCCTTCATGTCGAGGTATAGACATCTCGTGCGTGATAGTAGAAATTTATGGGTGGTCCGATAGCGGCCCGACAACGGGTGGAAACAGAAATACCCACTTATAACTCGCTAGGATAGACTCTAACCATGACTCTGATACCATAAAAGAGAATAATCCCCTGCCTTATTTCATTGGAATCATCAGTTTATATACAAATTATACAGAGTATAATTAGGCTAGAATTAGGGAACTAATTAGCTATAAATAAGGAACTAAAATATATACTTGACAGATATTATATTATCATATATTCTAACACTCCTCACCACATAATCTCCTTCTCTACCTGAGAAAGAATATTGGAGCGTCAAGATAACCCCCAAGACTGAGCTTCACACATCAACACCCCTACACTACAGAGCACCACCATGGAATCCCTACACGAGAGTCATGTAATTATGTCCATCTACTATGCACATGATCAATACAAACTCATTCACATCATACATCATACAATTCAATAGATAATACCAATCAAACATCAAAGTACAAACTTTACATATCTAAAATATAACAAGATCATTTGTCATAAGATCAAGTTGCCAACAATTCTTAAAAGAACCCATAAAAGCAACAAAAGATTTACACAACAAGGTTAAACTGGAAAAGACCCTGGCGCTGAGTGACACATCCTTGTTGCTGAGCATCATCCCTTGCGCACAATTGGTGTTTGAACACCACCCTGGTGTCGTTAAGCGTCAAAGCTCTCGGCCATCATCAAATCACAATCATACATTGAAATATTCGTAAATATGCAATAATGCACTAGTCAATATACAATACCATACAAAAAACATTTCAAATAATATCATATTCAACCTAGCATAAATTACACTACCTATCAAACAAAAATTCATGCTTCTCATACAAAAATTAAAGTAAATATTAGTTTTCCTTACCTATTAAAAAACCAAATGACCCTAAAGAACCCCAAACTCATAGGAAGTCCTATTTGCTCAAAGGGAGTCTTATAGAAGACTCAAACTTCACATGCAACACAAAAAGGGCTAGCATGCAACGAAAACAAAATAGACCCAAAAAAAGGAGCAGAATACCAACTTACTTTATTTAAGAAACTGATTGGTTAGACTTGAAGATCTCGCCGCTGGGATCATTCAAACAGACTCTGATCTTCAAACAGATGAACACAGGAGAAGTACTCTTAAAGAGAATTCAGATAACTCTAGAAAAGTGGTCTTTAGAGAGGTGGTGTGTTTTAAAATAATGAAACTCGTCTATAACGAAACTATTTATAATAAAATCATTTAAGATTAAAATAATTGAGTCTCGCAATTTTTAAATCACTATCATTTCTAAAACATCATTTTCTAGGTCTTTACATTCTCCCCAGCAAAAAAAATTGTTCAAGAAAATTTTTTATCCTCGAAAATTTCCTTATTAATTAGAAAGAAAAGCTTGCTCTCTTCACTTTCACAACCACCTAACTTGACCCAGATAGTACTCCCCCAACTAACATGAAAATCTTGCCTCTGTGCTAAAAGTCTCTAGTGTTCAATATTGTAGATTGGTCTAACCACTACTCTTAAAACAATTTCTAAACCTCCAAACCCCCAACTTTATATAGATTCTTCTTTCGCCTAACCAACCAATCTGTATCTGCAAAACTAAACTCAACCTTATTTGTCTTCCATTATCTCTTGTAAACTCCTTTTAAAACTTAGCTAGCCTTGACTTTAGATCAACACCTAACTGATATCATTTCACTGTCTCTTGCTTTCTCTTTGAAACATAATACAAAAGACTTGACTGCTCACAACTTCTAATCTATTACCAACTGTTAACACACCTGATCACCCTTAAACACCACCACTTTGATAACTTTACCTTCCTTTATTAATATTTATCCTTGGGTAATATATTCTTCCTCTTATACACGTACCTTACTCTTAAACCACATTTTACTCATAAAAATAGAGTAAACTCATTTTTTCTCTCTCTTAACATCTTCTTGAAATCACCATTGTGACAATATAAAAGAGACATCTTCTTGAAATCACCATTGTGACAATATAAAAGAGAGTTAACTATATTTTTTGTCTCTAAATTATAAAGTTGTTTTAGTTTTTGTCTTTATCACAAATTTTGGTTCTGTTCCCTGCACTTAAATAAAAGAAATGCATAGATACAATTATTTTCATCCAAATGTATTAATTATTTTTTGTTGTGACAAATGATAAATTATGTTTGATGCAACTTTCCCTCCTGCCAAAATCGTAAAAAGTTAGTGTAATTCATAAAAAAATTATATCAATACATTTCTTAACTACGATGATATGAAAGTTTAAGATAAAAACGAAAATCAAATTTATATCATATTATAATTTAAAAACAAAAACATGATTAACTTATAAAAACATAACCAATTTAAACATTTTGAAAAGATCATTGAATTGTAATCTATATGTTAAAATATCTCAACAAAATCAATCAATTTTAATATGATAATTATATGTATTTTGTAAATATCTCAATAATACATTATTTTTTACTTCTTAGTTTTCGAAACAAGTGTTATTTGTTATTCTATTCCGTGTAAATATTGTTTTAAACTTCAGTTCTGAAAATGTGTCATGTTTTTATTTTACTTTTAAAAAATAAAGTAAACTTTATTTTAATCCTTATATATTAATTATTATTTTTATATTTTAATCCTGGAGAATGTCATCACTGTTTTATGATGTTAATAACACTGAATTAACAATTTTGTTGATGTTTGACTGGATGATGTCATTATCATTATACTTGAGCTTATAAAAGTTTAATTTAAAGAAACGAGTTTTCGTGATGTAGCAGACAATACATTAGTTTTGTGGTTTGGTTCTTCCAAGTTTGAACCAGAAAGGTTGGTATCGCAAATACAGTGGGCCGAAACAATACCACCTTGCACCACACACACGTGTGCATCAGAAACTACTTTCAACGCGCTTTTCTGGCCTTTCGAATTCGCAGTCTCACGTTTGAAAATTACGAGTTTTAGTTTATATTCGCTTCTTCTTATTTTCTTTTTAATTTTTTAATTTTTTAATTTTCTAATTTTCTTTTCTCTCAATAAATTTTGAATATCCTATATAAGGCAAAACCTTTGGGTATACCCTTTCATTCTTTTCGTTACGTTCTGAAATTTCATTCCCCTGACCTTAACCCCTCTTTCTCTTTCTTTCTTTCTCTCTCTCTCACGCGACAATGGCGGAAGCTAAGAGTCAAATTGAATCCTTGAGGAAATGGGTCGTCGAGCACAAGCTTCGAGCTGTTGGTAAATTTCTCAGTTCCCCTGTTTGTTCGTTCCGTTAGATTCTTTTATTGTTCATCGCTATGCCATTTTTTTTTTCTGTTTATTATGACATCGATGGATGTTTTGTTTTAATGATTTCGATCTTTGTGGTTTTGCGGATGGTATTTGGATCAGGGTGTCTGTGGCTCAGCGGTATCACGGGGTCTATTGCGTACAATTGGTCTCGACCCAATATGAAACCCAGTGTGAAGATCATTCACGCAAGGTTAGTTACAATTCTGTTCGTTTTTTATACACTGTTGATTGTATATAATTCACTGGATGCGTCATGCAAAGGAATTTGTGCAATCCGTTTGATGCCGAGGCAAAGTTTTTTGACATTTTGATGTGGTTCTGTGTTTATAGTGTAAGCCATTAGTTGGTCTGGTGTCACCTGAATGCTACGGTTGCTTTGATATTTAGCTAGTATCGTTTGTTTCATCGAGGCCTATTGTATTCTGTTTCCACCATTTTCAACCAGTGTGTAAATTGGGGCCTTATCTGTGTAACAGAATGGGATTGAATATATTTTTTACAACGGACGGTGGTGTCATTCTATTCCTTCTCATCTATCCTAATATAGCCTGGGGATTGAGTCAAATTGAACTCCTTTATCATTTGTGATTAAATTTAGCTTCAAAACTAGTATTTATGTAACACTGTTTTTACTGAAAATGTATGCTTGCAGTTTGCGTTTATTATTTTTTTCATATCGCTGCCATTTTTCTTTTTTCCATTTTGATATGATGTCAATTTCATTTCTCCAAGAAGTTAATAATGTCAATCAGCTGGAAGATCGAAATACAGAGCATTTTATTTCAGTCTTTAGGATAACTATACGAAGCATTAACTATTATTTTACTTGGTGTTGTAACAACGGTACATTGGAGTCTTGATTGTCTTGTGCAATATGTAGTGTTTATTGATTACTTTTCCCAATGGATTTGCATCTTTTTCTCGTAGTACGTGTGGTATAAACATATGCTTTTCCATTTGCAATTACTCTACTGTCTCTGAGATGAAATCAAGTTTGTTTTCATCTTCTTCTCCCTTGTTCGTTGTCTCATCAATTAAGTGATGGCACACAGTTCAGCATAAAAGCCTTCAACTAAGAGTAAGAATTACAATTGCAAAATTTGAGTTCGAGGGTCTCAGACCGTTAAGAGAATGATGTATTATAGAATATGTGGTCGAGATGGTATTTCTTTTAGATTTGGGTAAATTATAGATGAATATAACGGATATGAGCTGCACTATGAAATTATTGGAAAAGTGATAGCTCTTATTAAGAGATGAAACCACGATTGCAGAGAATTGATTGGGATTTATATTAGGAAAGTCTACATCAAAAGCTATTCATCTTTTACTGGAGTTGATGAAAATGTCAACAACATTTTTAAATATCAAGAAATGTCTTTGTGAGAATGGTGTGAGAACTCTTTGATAAGTATTTTCCTACAAGGATATCTTAACACCAGGTTTCTGTTTTGAGTCTTTAATTTGTTTAATTTGGTTCCATTGGCTTGGTTTCAATCTTGTCTTACTCTCTTCAATTTTTTTTAAGGTCCCTCCTTTTTAAAAAAACTTGTCAATATCCATTTTGTGAAGGTTTTTATTCCTGTGAAAAGGGCAAAGGGAGACTGAGATGAGAAGTATATTACATGAAATTGTTAAGAGGAAGATGGGGAATAATATCCCCGACAATTTAGTTTTATTTAAATCCAGTGGCACTGTGCAATCCATTTAACTCATTTTACATGGTCATATGATTATCGCTTGTTATTGTTTGACTTGTCATCGTTCAATTTGAGGGACTTGAGACCTGAAAAAATGAACTGGCGTCTTGAATCTGAATAACTATGTGATGTATTGGGTTTAGTTCTTACTGCTCCCCATTGCAAAATTTACTGTACAATTTGAGTCGGTTTAACTTTTTTTCTTTTTTTTAAGTTTGAACCTGCTTTGCGATATCTTGCATAATTTCAAGCTTATGCTTCTTTCTAATGTTTCTGAGCTGTCTAATCTCAGGTTGCACGCCCAAGCACTTACACTGGGAGCATTAGCCGGAGCTGCACTGGTAGAATATTATGATCATAAGAAAGAAACAAAGACTTTATAAAGAACTTGGGGAAATATTAACGCAACCAGATTAACCTGAGACTCCTAGTACTAGTACTACTCATTTTAATCATTATTGCAAAATTTGCAATTGGACTTATACACATTCTTTCTCAAAATAAAATACTACTTTAAAATGTTAAACATGCTTGCGGCGGAGTGAATGTATTTTTTCATTGTATAATGGATTGCTTATAGTGCTAGTTGCTTCACACATTTGCTAGCAAATTTTGTCAGTTCACACATTTGCTCTTATTTATAGGATAAGAGCACTTGGCTGCATAAAGAAAGATGGAACAGCATCTTAAGATTGTAAACTTCAGATTCGGCAATATTATTTTCAGTGTTATCATTATTAAGTCTTGATATTATTTTTTTATTTTATTTTGTCATTATTACTTTATTGGCACTAGTTCAACTACTTATTCAAGATTAAATAGAGAGGTGGGAAAAACTTGGCCGTATTGTTTGAATTTGTCCATGTGTTAATGAGGAATATCTAAATGGATTAGAAATGAATATGAATATAAATGGATATAAGAATATCCAATATTTAAGTTTTAAAGTTGGGGACAAAATGATTTTATATATATATATATATATATATATATATATAAAAGACACACACATTTATTTTAATTGTTTACTTTTAAAAAATAATCATTTGACAATTATGTTATTATTATTTAACATTATATTATTCTTTAATCATGCAACTATCAATTTTTTAATCAATCATTTAATATTAAAATAAGAAAATATGTTATTTTGACATTAAATTTTTAATATTATTTTATTTAATATGATCACTATTTTTCATAAGAAAATACAATTAATATTATGATGGATACAATTAAAGTATATATTACTAGACAATGTTGAAAGTGTTTCTCTTCTATCATCTCTCTTTAATGAATACTTTATATTTAAGTGTATATATACTTATATTTTGTCTCCTCCTATCTTTCCTCTCAAATTAATGTTTGACCACGGAATTATTTATGCATAAATATTTATATTTTTATAATTTAATCAAGATTTACATTTTTTATAAATATAATTATTTTAATTGAATTTTTACTTTCTTGTTGTAACATCCAGTTTCTAATAATATTCACATAACAGAAACATCACTCGTTTAATATAAAAAAAAAAAGTCAAATCTTTATATATATATATATATATATAAGGGTCATGTACAATTGTACAATTAAGATGTAAAATTTTAGAGAAAAGACATAAAACTCTAAAGTGTGATGCTATTATGTTTGTATCTTTTATTACAGGCTAATATTTTATTTTTTTTTATACAACGAAAAAAACTATGATTGATTTGAAATTACTTCTTGAAGCAACAAATACTTACATATTTTTTAAATAAGTTAACAGCTGTTTCAACTTAATTTTAGATAATATGACATGATTTTTCTATTCACCTTCATATGTTCATATGGTGTTGTTGAGAAAAACCTTCTAAATTAAACAATTTAAAAGTTAAAAGTTAAAAAAATTGAAAATCATATAATTTAAAAACATTTTTCAATAATATTAGTCATTGATGTGAATGAAAAAGTTACTTTTTGACAAACTTAACTTTTAGGATTAAATATGATTTTAGTTATTAAACTATCACGCGATTTTGGTTTTCATCCCTCTTCGAAAAGTTTGTTCATTTTAGTCCTCTTAGTTTTGAAATTCTTATGTTTAGTCCTTAAAATTGAACATCGGTTTTCTTTGGGAGGCGCGGCTCAGGCATGATCTCGCCTTCGTTGGCGACGAGGCGTAGCGAGGTGCGGCAAGGACGTTCTGTAGCGTCGGCGCCTCTACGAGGGACTTCGGCTTCTCCGATTGCAACGACGAGGTTGAGGCGTGATCTGGGTAGGGTTCTTCATCGCACAACTCTGGGAGAGTTTTTCTTCCTCTTCTGCCATGGAACGTGCTCACAGTGCTATGGAGAGATTTTCTTTCCTTCCTTTTCCCCGTTCTGGTTCGTAGCGTGGTGGTCTTGCGGCGTGAAGTAGAGGAGAGTCGCAAACTGGGAATTTTGGTTTTCTTGCAGATCTTGGATTTATGTGGTTGAGTTTGGGGTTTGAATAAAGTTTTGTTGTTTGATTCTCAAAGTTCTTGTTTTTGTGAAATTGAGAATTTTTTTTATTGAGATTGGGGTAACCGCTGTTCGTGTTCACAACCACCGCCGCAATGACCACCGCAACTATCACCTTACTTTGCTTCGAGTAAAACTACTTTGCTTCTAGTAAAACTACAAAAAAAAAGTTAAGAACCCTAATCTGATTTCAGAAACCAAAAGGTGACAATCACTTAATCTAATTTTTAAAAAGAAAAGCACGTGGGAGAAAGTAATGATGGAAGTGGCATCACACGTTAACTCGTCATTTGTCACATAAAAAAAAAAAACTTAACACCTTAAGGACTATAAACATAAGAGTTTCAAAACTAAGAGCACTAAAATGAACAAACATTTTGAAGAGGGACGAAAACCAAAATTACGTGATAGTTCAAGGACTAAAAATATATTTAACCCAAACTTTTACATTTATTTTGACATTATATTTTACTTTTATTATACCATGTGAATTTTGTAATTTGAGTTGTACAATATATAAATATATTATGAATTAGATCATTTAAAAGGAAATTTGAAATTAAACCATAAAAAATAACTTTTTTTTGAAGATACTGTTGATGAGTTTTATATATATATATATATATATAT